GTAGATTATAGCTGTAATTCTTACGTGTCATAAAGCATCTTAAAAAGAAAAAAAAAGCAGAAACTGTTAACACTAAAACGACATTTAGAATAACAAAAAGCAACAAACGCAAAGAAATTCAAGGTCCAGGCTGACATTCTCATAATACAGCATCTCATTATACATTCACATCACAGTGTCCCATTGGGCTTTAGATTGTAGCCTATATCGCATGTAATGCACTGATCTGAAACCCCATCAGTTCCCAGTATAACAGTATAGGTAAGCAACTAAAAAAGACGATTAAATTCTTCTCTCACTGGCTGCATGGAATGGGTGGTTTCGCTAGAGATAGGATTGGGCTTTATCTGGACCATGTTCTGATTTCTATTACACAGAGTGTTAGCCACAACTTTGACTTTTATGTTGATTCTGCAAGCTTCAGTAATACCTTAGGATGACTAACAGACTCTGTTTTTCAGGATGTATTATTTATTCAGAGCCCAAAAGTCTGATAACCACTTTACAGCCGGATAAAAATCATACTATCTCTTAAGAGCTCACAATCCAAGAGATGATTTAACATGACAAGGGAAGTGTAATTATAAAGAAAAATGGCGCAAAAATAGGGGGCTTCTGTCCACAGGAAATTTTTGCAAAAAGACAGTTTTGTTTTCATTTATGCTTTTCATGGAAAATTCTGACTTTTTGTCTAAGTATCAAAAATTGAAACATTCTGGCTTGAAACAAAAACATTAAATTACATTAAACATTAGAAATAAAAAACATTGTATTAAATATTGGGGAGGTTGGTTTTTCAACTAAATTTTCAGAGGAAAGCAGACTCTTTTAAGGAAAAATTCATTGAGTCAAAAGCCCCAATTTTCAACAGAAAAACAGTTTAGATGGAAAATTTTCAACCAAGTCTATTACAGAAGCCCGTGTTAGAGCTGTTTTATGTCAATGATGCCATTATAAATCCTGTTCAAAAGGCAGTTGGAACTTGCCCTTTAAAAATTTACTCTGGGACTCTCCCTGTTGCCTAGCAATTGTGCACTGCTCTGCAACAGAAGAGGCTTGGACTCACATGACAGGTTATCCCATTCCTCGGCCCAGTTGGGACTAGAAGCACCTTAGGCAGACACCATATTGTGAGCAGAGCAGGTGCGTGTGTTACTCAATAGAACCCTCTCTGGTCACAAAAGGAACAGTACTGACAATCTCGGAAAGGAAATCCATCTTGGAATGGTGGTGCTGAAATGGGGCCTGAAAGGTGTAAATGGGGGGAGAATGGACCTATCCTCCCAACAACAACAAGAATGCAGAGCTCCCAGTGAGACTGTGCAAAAAAACTCTCTGGGTTGAAATGCCGAGCCATAATATAACAGGTTTTGAGTGCCATGACTCCCATTGACTCCACTGGAATTGTGGGTACATGACAGGATCAAAATATTTCGGCCTGGACTTTCCAGTCCATCAGATCCATGGAGTTACATTGTCCTATGACGGGTATAATAGAAGGGAGAAGTAGGCTGTTTGTGTAGCAGGGAAAGCCTGATATTTAATCTACTATGTATATTAGAGAGTTTGTCTGATTGATCAAGAACTCCTTCTAAAATGTAAGAGCTAGAACCACCAAATTCGGTGTACAGTTTCCTCTTATCATAACTTAAGCAACAAAAGGGTTTGGTTGTGCCAGGAAAATGGGATATGTCTGGAATGGGAGTGCTTCTCATAAAATCAAACAGAAAGGAGACGACAGAGTCACCAAAGCAAGCACAGTCCTCAAAATTGACATAATTGAGTGAATGTTGAAAGAGAGGATCAGAGGGGTAGCCATGTTAGTCTGAATCTGCAAAAGCGACGAGGAGTCCTGTGGCACCTTATAGACTAACAGATGTATTTGAGCATAAGCTTTCGTGGGCAAAGACCCACTTTGTCAGATGCATGTAGTGGAAATTCCAGAGGCAGGGATAAATATACAGGAATAAGAAAAGAGTACCAATCAAGAGTAAGGCTAGAGATTACGAGGTCAATTCAGTCAGGGAGGATGAGGCCCACTTCTAGCAGCTGATGTGGAGATGTTGAAACTAAGGTGAGCCAGAAAAATAGGATGAACCTGGAATAGGACTGCTTCTCAATAAACCGTACAGAAAAGAGATAAACTGGAGAAATCTGGAGTAGTGCTCTGTTTTGACTCTTATTAGTTGAGGTTTCTGTTACCCTGTAAGGATGAGGCTAACAGTGACCTGGTAGGAAGGAAGAGTTGCCATCTGACCGATTCTTATTCTTGTATTGCCTTGCTAGTTGCCCTGAAGATGCACTGGGCTTTCCGCACTCCCTCCCTGTTCCCTAACTCTGAGGGTGAAGTGGGAGCAAATGCTCACCAGAGAGGGCCCATAGGGCTATCCCTTTAAGAGCCAGGCCTCCCTTGGAGGATTTAGCTGCTTTCCTCACGTGCTCCATGGTTTCTAGTCTTTATAGATGATATTATGGTACAAAGAAGGGCACAGGCGGGGTT